GAATGCTGTTTAATATATTTTTACATCTTTATGAGGTGGTTCAGAGCTGTGTGCTTTTAAGAACATCTTATCAGGAGGGCCCAAGTGTGGGGCACAGGAGTGAGGCTTCACGTCCAGGACCTCAGGGAGCGGAGTGGCACAGGAAGGAATATGATATGTTTTAATCTCTCAGGGCGTAAATACAATTCCATCTAATGCAGGGGTGAGATGAAATGAGTAATGCTGGTGATTCCATACTTTGTGGCCAACATTCCTGAATGCTGACTAAGGTTGGAAGAGTGTTGGTGTGAAAGTTATATTCTTTGTGGGATAAACTTGGTGGTAAACTTAAATTCAAGCTGAACTTCTTTGTGGTGGGATATTGCATGATTCATGGGAATCTTCATTAATCTGGATTCGTTGTGACCTATTTATTGGCTGGGACGAAGTAACTCACTTTGGAATGAAGTCACAAAAATAGTCTTTATATGACCCTGTTCAGTGTCACACAGCCAGTGGATGGGGGAGGGCAGGACTCAAATCCTGATATATACTATTTCTGTTTCCATAACATCCTGCATATGTTAGGTTGAACCATATAGAAATTACTCTCATTCCATCATGTTTGACCTATAAAGAACACCTTTTATATGACCCAAACTACAAGTAGGGATCACCTCTTTTATAATGAGTGGTTGGTTTAGTGTTATCTTCATGGCCGGGATACTGGATGTGTGGGGACTGAGACAGACCATCTTGCTCACTGTTGTCTCCAGGGACTGTATAGCTTGTGGTTGGCATTTGATAAGTATCAGTTGAATAAACTATAACAACCGAAACATTTTGGTTATTTCTTCCTACCCAGCTCCCATATATATGTCGTTTCTGTGTCTTTATATCTTTGTCATTTTTAGAGTAATCAGTGGATAAACACAAACTGTCCTGAAGCATATGGCCTCAGCAGGGATAATTGTGACATAATCAACTATTTGACTTCAACCAAACCTTTTAAACTAATGAAGAAGTTAATTAAAAACATACCTCTGCTAAGATGACCTCTTATTTAGAAACTGGAAAATGCAAAACGTGTGTGTTCCCCACCAGCACGCAGTGATTTTGGCTAGAATGTATGTGGTACTCAGAATGCCATCCACTCAGATCCTTATTTGAGCAGTAAACACATTTTTAAAAAACAGTGTGCAGTCGCTAAAAGTCAGTATTTCAAAATGAAAACCAGTGCACAAGTAGTTGGCACATCTGGTAGTCAGAAAAGTTGTATGGTTTATTTTCAGCAAATGACACGCCAAGGAACATTCAGACTTGGCCAGTTGAATACTTTTTTTCTATCTGTGGTGACACCTGGTTTAAAAAAAAAAATTGGCTCCAGACTGAAAGCAGATAGAACGTTGGAAATGGGTAGAGAATTAAATAGAATCATTTGCTATCTTGTTTTATGCAAGGAAATATAAAGAACTATTTTACATCAAGAAAGATAATGGAGCAAAAATGTGATGAGAGTCATGAACAATAATAATAACAATAACAACAATAGCAGCTAATACCCATTGTGTACCTACTATGTGCTAGACAATGTGTAGTGTCCTATACATGTGTAATGACTACTAGATGGATAACAACCTTATGGGGTGGTGTTATTTTTATTCCCATTTTACAAATGGAAAGATGCAGACATGGAGTTAAGGCATGTTTAAGCGATGTGCCCAAGTCACACACAGCTATCGGGGGTGGGGGTGGGGCTGATCCCAGGCAAGCCGGGGAGCCCACACTTCAAATACTGCCCGATTCTGACTAGTCTGGAGGTGTTCATTCTGTCTGGAATTATGAGAAAAATTAGATGGTTGCATTGAGCACCGTGGCCCTAGATCAAACTGTTGTTTGCCTCCATTTTTGAGACAGATACCATTTTCCAGAACATTCTCCCAGCTGTTACACAAACATTAGGTGTTCCCAGGAAATTTATCATTTAGCCTGAGGCTTCCAGGGTGTCGCATATGACACCTGTCAGAAGCTGTGACTCCTCTATGGTTAGATGCGGTTCAAGTTGACCAGTGTATTTGGGAGTAGGAGGTAATACAGTAAAAGTCACGGAGACTGTGGGAAGTTAGCAGCACTGTGGAATGTGTCAAAGGATGGACTTAGTTGGAGTTTGTTTTTGAAAAATGGCACTGCCTTTCAAAAAAGAAAACCAGGAGGGTTTTGGTGGAAATAATTTGTCAGTATTTAATATTCATGTGTATCACTGTCTTTTATTTTCATTTATTCATTTCTTCTTAACTTCATAGACAGACTTTATTGTTTATGTTCTCTGTAGGCCCTGGGCTAAGTGCTGAGGAAGCAAAGCTCCTTAAACAAGGGCTTTACCTTTAAAGAGCAGTAAATTGTAAAAGAGGAGGGGGTGACAGGCATGGAAACATTTCAGTTCCCTGAAGGTTTGGGGGCAGATGTGTTATGAGAGACTATAGGGGAATGAAAAGAAGAATGGTCATATCTTCCCAGCAGGCAGTGGGGGCGGGAGGAGTCAGAGATGTGACTTTTGAATTGAGACCTTGAAGACGCAGAGATGCTCACTAGGTAGACAAGGTAGGGTAAGGCTGTTCTAGGCAGAGAAGACCATAAACAAGACAAGGGTTAGAAATTTCTCAGCCATCATATTGGTATTTATCCATTCTAAGGTGTGCATATTTTCACACCAGGACATCTCTGACATCTCAACACCATGCACTAGTTTAATTGACAGCATATGTTCTTACTGGTACATAAAATAATGGCATGCCTTATAATACATGGTGCCTTAGATTATTAATATGCTTTGCCTCCAAGTAGTTTTTCTTGAGTGTGCTGTTCTAGCTGCTAATATGCCTTTGTTTTAGAGGTAGATATTAATACCTTTTTACTAAGGTAGTAGTAGTCATGAAATGAGTTGCTTAGATAAATAAATATTGAATTTGTCAGAATACCTGACATCTGATGTTGCTTTTAATAGCCATGGCCGGTAGGGATAGGACTTGGGGAGGAGGGTTCGAGTGTCTTTTATACTGGACTAGGCTATCAGCCATCACACTGCTTTTTTTCCAAGGGAAAGGGGGATTTGAAAAGCAAATGGCATGTAGTTTGATGGAATTTATAAAGATACTACATTTATGGTCATTGCATAAAAATGTATCCACTACTCTTGATAATGAGATGAAACCCTGAAGTACAGTGTTATGTGAGTTATGGAAATTGGCTATAACTGATCTTTCAAGGCACAAGAGGATGCGTTAGATATAAGCTGCAGTGAAAGAGGTAGAGGGAAGGTTCTGGTTTGTGTATCTTTGAAAACAAGCAGAGAGATTTTTCCTGTAGAGCTGATGACCTTGAAAAGTATCCACAGGAAAAATGAAACAGCCAGCACCTAAACTTAAGCACCCAGGTGCCATAAAAATATACCCTAGTGGAATCTGTGTCTGCTCTGTCAGTAAATCCCTGTGTGGCCTTGGGCAAGTCAGTCAGTTACCACTTGGGTTTTAGTTTTCCAGAGGCCTGGACTATAGCAGGCTCCCTGCCAGCTGAAGATGCTGTGACTCTCCCAGCACTGTCAAGGTCTGGTGTCATTGATGAGAGCATAGTGATCGCTCTAAGGTCTTGTTTGTCCTTCAGTTCTGTGGGCTCTTGGAAGAGAATATTGCAAAAGATGACAGTCATTTTTTGGGCTATGGATTTAATTTTTGGGAAAACAAAGTAGGAAATTGTATACCTTAAGGCTAAGTAAGGAAAGTCACAGTGGTGCTTTTCCACATACTTTGATCCCAAATATATCAATGAGAAACATGGGGAATTTGTGAAAAATATTTAGAGCCTGATTTGTTAAAACTGAGGTCATACTTATTTTAGTTCGTTTGAAATGGGAACAGAGTGTACAGTCACTGAGACTTGACCAGGTAGTTTGCAGAAAAAATGTTTGAAGAAGTACAACCATGTAAAAAGAATGTCTAGAATGATTCAACCGTTATTATTTTTTGTAAGTGAGTCATGACAGTGTTTGCCTTTCTCCTCTCTGCTTTTCCCTTTTCCCTAAGGACACAGATTCTTGTGGGTTTCTTTTTTTCTTCTTTCCCTTTTGGGTATGTACCAAATTTTACTACATTCGAAGATAGTTACTAATGAAAAGAAAAATCTATGCCTAACTAGAATTAGTGTTTTGTTTCTCTCATCCTGATTTGTTTTGTTTGTTAATCCCCACCAGAGGATATTTTTTCCCATTGATTTTTAGAGAGAGTGGAAGGGAGGGAGGAAAGGGGGGAAGAGAGAGAGAGAGAGAGAGAGAGAGAGAATTGGTTGCCTCCAGCATACACCCTGACCAGGGCCAGGGGTCAAACCTGCAATGGTGAACCTGCAATCTATGTACCCTTGATGGGGAATTGAACCCATGACCCTTGGTGCGTGGGCCGACGCTCTAACCACTGGGCAACACTGGCCAGGGCTGCTCTCATCCTGATTTTTAAAAAATTGGGTATATGCCCAATAACGATACATTGGGATGAAGAGGAGACATCAAGAATGGAGAGACACAGCCAGACTCTATCCTTTTAAAGAGGCTTTTTGGAAGGCCAGGGTTGGAATGAAGTAAACCAGTTAAACAAGCTTTTTTTCCTCCCAGAAGCATCAACTTTCCTTGCTGGGTGATTCAGGATATTAGCTATTCTAGAAAAAACTTGGTTTGATATAAGTAAGCCCATCTACTTACCACCTTAACTCTTTAGGTAAGGAGATGATAAAATATGATTTTAATATAACTGGCCACTTCTACACAGAAGGAACAAAATCCAAGTGCATTCTGTATAAGTGGTGATTTATAGATGAGTTTCTATTGTAACATTATGCTTTTTCATTACAAGTAGAAGAAGCTTTATGGTGTCACCGATACTAAAAAAATAAAAAATAAAAAATCCAAGGACTGTCTCTAAAGATGGGACTTCATAAAAGTGTGCACATGTGTGTATTTACTGATTTCTGATGTAAGGGACATGAAAGCTAACCTGATTCGTTTGTTTTTAGGGGCTCTTGGCTTTGGGCCTCAGTGCAAGTCCATTGGAAAAGGCAGCTGCAACAATCTAGTGGTCACCAGCAGCCCCATGATGGTTCAGCGACTGGGACCCATTTCACCTCCAGCAAGCCAGGTCTCTACAGCATGCAACCAGATCAGTCCTAGCTTACAGAGGGCAATGAATGCAGCCAACCTGAATATACCTCCTTCAGATACCAGGTCTCAAGTTACTTTTTTTTCCCCTTCTTATGGTATAATCATACCCCATGATTGTTTTCCCTTCCCTTCCTGAGCACACAAGCACACACACTCACACACACTCGCTTAAGCTACTCTTTTAATTTGATCTTTTTTTAGGGGAACGTGTATAAAAATGAAGTATGTGCCATAATATCACCATTTTTGTTGTTGTTAATACTCACCTGAGGATATTTTTTTCCATTGATTTTTAGAGAGAGTGGAAGGGAGGGAGGGATAGAGAGAGAGATAGAGAGAGAGAGAGAAAAACATTGATGTGAGAGAGACACATTAATTGGTTGCCTCCTGCTCAGCCCCGGATTGGGGCTGGGAATTGAACCCAAGACCCTTCAGTGCTCAGGCCAATCTCTAACCACTGAGCACCACCAGCCAGGGCCATAATGCCCAGCTTGAGATGTTGGGGCCTCAGTGGCTAAACTCCAGGGTATAAATGTGTCACTTCCTGGTGAAGCAAGTCACGCGTCATGGCCTAGAAAATTTAGAAGCTCCGTGTGCCTCTAGCTTACCTGTTCATTTTTCCACGTATATGTTGCAGTGTCTCCAGGCTGCTTTACAACTGTTTTGTCTGTCCATCTACCCCCCATCCACCCATCTACCCAAGTACTTATTAAGTATCTTACATCTGCACAATACAACAGTTAAAGTTTAGGGAGATAGTAGAAACAATGAAGACTGGAGTCATGAATTTAGGACTTTATGATGTGTCTGGGAAGACATACTTTCATGTGTGAATTACATAACATTTCAACACAGTGTCTGAGGAGGTGCCAGAATAAGTAAGTCTAATAAATGCTGCGTATCTCTCCATGGGAGAGAATTGGGTAGGAAAAGGGAAACCACCTCCTCAGACAAATCTCTCTCTTAAGGTTGATTTTAGAGGGAACACATAGTCAAAATGCTGTGCAATGTGTAAGGTCCATTTCTATGTTTGAAATGAATTGTTTTACCTTCTAGAAGTTGCATTCTTGGAGAAACACAATCCGCAGTTTTTGCCTCTTAGTCCTGGCTCTGTTGTAACTGATTTCGCAAAGGCGTTTGACTCCCCGGACCTCTGCTTCCTCTTCTTGGGGGGCTGGGGCTCTGCCGAGATGCCCTGCCGTTCCGGGACCCTGTCTCCCCTCCTGCTCCCTCCGTTTCCTTCTTTCCCTCCTCCTCTGTGCATCTCTGCTCTGCTCTCCTAGCTGCTATTTGAGACTCTGAATTCAGCTCCTGGATCATTTTTTATGCCAATTTTTTCATGATAGGGAAACTTGTTTTTCACCTGAGATTTTTTGTGAGGAGAAGCTGCTGCTGTCATTTCCCTATTGATGATTATGCCTTGAGGGACTCCTCAGACTTGCTGAGTGTTGCATGTAAAATTAACTGTAGTCGAGGGGTAGGTGTCATTGGGAAGCCTTCAGCTTCCTGTCGGTGGCAAGTCCAGCCTATGCCTTGAAGGCAGAGAGTTATAATTAATGGAGAAACTGATGGGTAGGCAAGGCACAAGCTGGTCCAGCCATGTACTTAATGTAGTCTCTTGACCAGGGAAGTGTTATTATCTCAGTGTTTTCTGGCATATTTGATTCCTTAGCATAATCTTATATCATTAAAAGACAACATCTTAAAGATGCATTGACATATGTTTTTGACTATGTTTTCTGTGAGTCCTCCTATTGAAACAATTTTTTTTTGCAGAATAGGCAAAAAAAAACAGGAGTTGGAAAGTGGCTTGGTGAAGTATGAAACTTACTTTGAGCAGTTTAGAAAGGTCTCATTTACTTGTGACCCTTGGTGTGTGTGCTCTGTCAGAGGAGAGAAAGGACAGGAGGCAGCAGTTCAACTTGAACGCATTAGAGATAAAGATAGACAATCAATTTTGTGTTTTATCCATGGGGGCCGGGTTGTGGGGGACAGGGAGCATGACCTGTTCAGTTTGAATGATGGCCACCTTGTAGAAAGATGTAAATTTTATTGTTTTTTCCGATTATGTAATTCTTACTCATTGTAGAGAATGTGGAAAATATGAAAAGCACAAGGCAGTAAGTGATAGCCATCCTGAATCCGACCACCTCCAGGCAACCCTGGGTGGAATCATGATATACATCCTTCTAGTTATATGCAAACATGTACTTCATAAGCATAGGTTTTCCTTTGTACCAGATGGATCTAATAACCTACATAGTGTTATAATTACTTCGTTCAGTTAATGTAAACACGATCTTTTGTAATGAAAGTCTTTAGCATCATATAATGGCTTCTTCCTACCCAAGATTCCATTTTATTTAAAAAGTATATAAATAAAACTATATTTTTTTTCATCAGTCTTTTATTACTGGTCACTTGGTTTCCCTTTATTTCAGTATTATAAGTAATACTTTATTGGCTCAATCCTGTAAATTTTTTGTTGCATATCTCTGGTTATTAGAATAAATTCTTAGAAGTAAAATTAGCTGGAAATGTATGATTTCGAGACTTTTGATATATAGTCTTGAATTGACAGCAGAAAAAGCTTACCCATTTCTAAACTCACTAGTAGTCTCAGAGTTCCTAGTTCCCATATCATATCAAATACTGGGAATTATTATTTTTATTACTTTTGCCAATTTGATGTGCAAAATGTTAATTTTAAAAATTTGTATCCTGTTATCTTAATTATTGAAAACAATGAGTAGTTTTTATAAGATTGACTGTATTTCTTCTTTTGACCTCCTTTGAGTGTTGTTGTTTTTCTGTAGTGCCTCATCATGGAAAAAGCGTTCCTCCTTAGCTATGTTGGGTTCTGGTTAATTCATTGATGAGAATCATGCCCTAATGTTGTATTTTTGCCTTTATTAATTTCCCACACATTTCTGACTAGCCCTACTTAATGAGAAATGCAAACTACCTTACCCTCCTGAAGATCCAGGAGCCATTCTTGATTTCGGCATTGCAAACACTCTGTAATACAGCGACTGTTGTATGTATTTTCCCTAAAGTCACGAGGCTGAGGTGCTGATACGATAGCCTGACACAGTCACTTCATATACAAATCTGGCAAAAGTTGGGCGGTAGAAGAGACTGGATGCTACCTGCGTGGGTTTTGTATATGCTTAGTTTTTCTAGTGCTTTCACATCCATTGTGGTTCTACATTTATGATTGAATGTTTATAAACTACCTGCAAGTATTACCCGTTTTATAGATGATGGATCCAAGATAAAGAAAGTCTAAAGGCTTTGCCTAATGTCACTTAGTCTGTCAGTTACAGAGTTCAACCATCAATCTAATAATGTCATTCCAGATCCAAACAGGCACCCCATTTTTCTCTCCTGAACCAGAAATTATTGAGGTGATTTCTAGGGATGGACTTTCTGAGGGTTTCCTTTTGGGTTGGATGTCCACAAAGCTCAGAGGAGGCCAAGGGGGCTGAGAATGGAGTCTGGGCTCTCTGTTAGTTCTGACATTTTATAAAGCAATCCTGTATTTAGATACTAATTCTTCCAGGGGATTTGTCCAGGCACTTAGAAAAGAACTTTCCTATAGACTGGGATATGTACATACATATATGTTTCTATCTCTCTTCTCTCTGTCTTTTGAGCATCAGTCTGAGGAATTGTACATGATCTGTAAGTTAGTATTTCTTTTGAGCTTGGCCTTGAACCAAACAATTCGCCTTGGCCGTCACTCCTCTGATGGCCCTATGAGAGTTACTGAATTCTTGCTTCACTGGCCGCCCTAACCTGTTTCACTGATAGTTTCTGAGTTTTTCATATTGGTTTTATTCTGTTTGAGTAATATTTCTTTCCTTTCACATATAGCTCCAAATTAGCCAGTCACCAGAAATAATATCCTAAGGATCAGATGAACATATGGAAATGGAGATTGTGCTCAGTTAGGTGATAGAACCACAGCTCTTTATCACTTTCTTTCCCATAGGCCTGATTTGTGTAGCAGTAAGGGTTGTACGAGAGAGTCCTTTGGAACCTTTCACAGTCGTTCAATATATTGTTACAGAAAGAGAGCAGAAAATGTAGGTTCCAGTCGTAGCTTGTGTGCCTGTAAGCCTGTTATACCAGGTCCCTTAATCAAGCAGTGCATTATGGACCACATGTGGGCTGTGATGTGGGGAAAACAACAGAGGATGGATGTGATCCAGCTAGGTGACCGCCTGTCAAATGCTGCTTCATTTGGTCCTTAAGTAGAAGTTATTTAAAAAATTCAGTTTGTTTACCTCACAGGCTATATCAAATGAAATAATGTATAGGGAAAATGCTTTGTAAACTATAACAGATGGTTAGTTATCATATGCTGATTACTTATTCACTTTCTTAATCAACAATTTTTTTAAAACTTATTATGTATCTAGCACTCTGGTGGGTCCTGGAGGAGATAAAAATGATCCCTTCTGTGGGAAGGCTTTGCATTTCAGTGAGGAAGATAACTTTATTGAGAAAGTTAGCTACTTTTAAGGCACAGTACAGACAGTGTATGACTTATTTGGAAAGAGGACTCTTACTGAGAGCTAGTGTATTTGGGGGACGTTTCATGGATTAGAACTTTGAAAGATAAAAGATCTGAGTAATTGCACAGGAGGGATGAGGGCCGCTGGGCAAAGGCCATTTGTTGGAAGTTTTGTTCTTATTATGTGTTTGAGATAGAAAAGAGAGGTCTCTGTGTGTATTACTGCCTTAGTGAATAGAATATAGACTCTGCTTTCTGCAAAATGTATGAAAACTGTCTTAGAAACTGATGTTTGAGGAATGAAGGAACATGCCTGCATGGGGTTATGCTCAGATTTAAATTGAGCCATAGCTAGGTATAATTTGAGAAAAGCATGAAACATCTCTGCACAATGGAACAAATAAACATGTCTAAATAGGTTGCCCTCACACCAAATAATATAATTACATATACAAAGTGCATACAAGTGGATAAAATACTTTCTTCCTGCTATTCACTGCTTAAAAATCTGAAATGCTCCAGTGTGACAGCGACCAGGCAAATACAGCATTTGAGAATACCCTATAAACCTTCTCCACCGTGGGGTGTAAAGCAAAGTCAGTTGTCTGTCCCTCATATACGACACGACTACTGATTTTGCTTGGGTCAGAAAGTAATTCCTCGATCTCCCTGGGGAAAAGGGACCGAAAGGTCCTTGACATTCAATCACCAGGAGCCTTCACCTGAGCTCCGCAAGGAGTGCTGCACGCTGCGGGGGTGCTGGGAAAATAATTGAAAGTGTCCATGGGGAATTAAGAAACAGATGGTTCAGAAACCACTTTGGGGCTTGCAAAAGGACTCCAGCCCGAATATAAGGATTGTAGACCAAGAAAAAAATCCATGTCAAGGGCAACTGGACATAAATTCCTGCTGTGTTTGTCATTGGTAAACATTACTTCACCCGATGGAAACATCACATCCATAATGGTGTTATCTGTCACCTTATACTGTGCATTTCGGAGCTGAGATATTTTCTGGCTAACATCGCGTGCTTGTAGGAAACAGTGTTCCTGGCTTCCATATTGTAAAAGGAGCAAGAACAGATGGGGTGAGAATGCTTCTCGTTTCCCTCAGTTCCTTTGGAAGTAGTATATGGGCTCATTCTGGGAAGACAGACATTTATATAATATTTTGTTTTGATTAAATTTTTGTCAGAAAAAAAAATCACTGTAAAAATCCAGTTCAGGTACATATAAAAAAGCCAGTTTTTTCTGATATACCCCATGTCTGATTGAGAAGGACAGTGAGTTATGTTTTAGCCTTTGTGACAAATTTTCCATCCAAGGGACACAGCTTTTCTCTTTAGTGATTTTTAAGGCAATGCCGTCATAGTAAAGCAAAATGAACTTTAAAGTGGCCAGACTACATTACAAACCATTTTGATATGTAGGTAAATATCGTGATGTGAGGCATGCTTTGGAAAAGGGTAAGAGGAACAGGAGAGAAATGGTTGCAAAGTGAAGAAATCATTATTAGGTATCCTGGATGACACTTTGACTTTGAGGATTTACTTTTTTTCAAGTCAAGCATGGGTTTATGTTTTACCTCACCAAATCGATCTTCCTCAAAGACTAAGACTCTGTTTAGACTTGTATTCCTTGCAATGCCTATTTGTAGTGTGTTGCACACAGTAGGTGCTTAATAAATACTTGCTTATTTGGTTTGCTGTGACAGGTATCGATCATTATTCCCAGGTCTCTAATTTCCCCCCTACATTAAAAAAATGTTTAAAAAATAAAGCAAGGCGTCTTTATTATCATTGAAGTATTAAGATTATATGTAACAGTAGATCTTTGTTTTATGAGTCCGGTGAGCATTAGCCTTGATTACTCTCGGTAAAATGTTATTTACCTGGAACTAAAAGCCTTGGTGTTATCTTAGCCAAAGAATGTGTGTTTAGCCGAGAATGTAATTAGGGGAAATACTTAAGGGATTGTCAATGCAATGTTCTTTTAGCTCTTAAGCAATCTATATCTTGCTAAAATGTTTGTCTTTTTTTTTTTTTTTCTCTTTTTTTCTTTTTTCTTCCCCTCTGGCTGCTGTTCCAGGTCCCTTATTTCACGTGAGTCTTTGGCATCCACGCCTTTGAGCCTGACAGAAAGTCAGTCGGCTTTGAGCGTGAAGCAAGAGTGGACTCAGGGCTACAGGGCGCTCCCTTCGCTCTCCTCCGGCCACAGCTCTCAGAATGGCACTGACCTCGGGGACCTCCTGAGCCTTCCTCCCGGGACAGCCATGGCCAGCAACAGTGTCTCCAACTCATTGCCACCCTACCTTTTCGGCATGGAACACAGCCACTCTCCTTACTCTAGTCCCCGACACTCTTCAGCCAGGTCCCACTCGGCGCGCTCCAAGAAGAGAGCCCTGTCCTTGTCCCCGTTCTCCGATGGCATTGGCATCGACTTCAATACCATCATTCGCACCTCTCCCACGTCCTTGGTCGCCTACATCAACGGGTCCAGGGCTTCCCCGGCCAACATGTCCCCGCAGCCCGAGGTGTACGGGCATTTCCTGGGGGTGCGCGGCAGCTGCATCCCGCAGCCGGGGTCGGCGCCCG